CAAGAACAACGAAAAATTCGTTGTATTTCTAGAAACTTCTCGGTCGCTAAAGCTTTTTGCTTAAAAAGCGCTATCTTTATGAGCAACGCACAACTGGCTAACATTTGAAAAAACACTCTCTTATAATTAACGAAAAAACTTGCATGCGTCAAAACATGAAACAAGAAGTTAATTCTGCTCCAAGTAATGTTGCTGAAACAGATACTAAGTTATCCTCTAACCACGACGGTCACGAAATCACGATAAAAAACTTTTTTACCTCTCGCTGACACTAGTTTGACTTGTTTTTGTTGCTCGCTTATTTCTGTCCTGTTACTCAACCAATTATAAAAAGATGCTGTAAACTTGAAAAAAGATCATCTATTTGCCTTTGAACAGCTCGTTGTAAACCATCAGAAAACTGAACTTAGCCAATTCAGACGTATTTAAACAAAACCATTATTGTAGGTACTGTATCCAGAAATAAAAAATTCTACTTTAAATTAGTTACAGAAAGAGAAGCCCACGCTTCCAAATGAACGTCTGAAAAATTAGTAAAGAATTTAAAGGAACAAACTGTTCAGAGTAAAACAACAGAAAGCATTCCAGAAGTTATTTTCAAAACTTCAGTCCATAATTGTCATCCTTCCTAAAGTTGAAATTAATTTCCCAGAAAAAACTATTATCAGAATCAAAGGAGTTTTGTAAAAATTGTAGTAGTTGAACAAATACCCTTTTTTTACAGGAGCAATAATAATAAACGCAAAATGCAAATAAACAAGATCCAGCTTAAGCAGAGTATGATAAATAGATAAACCAAGACACCAGGACATCCACTGCTAATGTCCAGCAGAGTAAGTCTCTAGAAATTCAAATCTCTAGTGCAATAAATCAAATCTAATTCTTTCGTAGTCCCAACGTTTTCAAACCAGTATCATTAGCTAACACACCACGAAATTCCTTTCCATTACAGAAAGTACATCAATATCAATCAATAAACATTTAAAAAAAGAAATTTTAAAAATACTTTTCACAACTGAAGAAACTCCTCTCACACAATCCATAAAACTTTTTACTCACCAACTCAAATTATAAAAAAAAACTGATTTCTAAGGAAACTGTAAGTACCAATTAACAAAAAAAACCAAGTTATAAACAAAAAACCATGCCAAAAGAAACAATTTAAAAATTCTTTGAATCGAAAAAAATGTGGTCCCTAATCTTCCTTCCAATTCAAAATAAAAAATTCTAAAATGCTAACCTAACAAAAAATAAAGGAAAACCTCCTAGCATCCAACGAAAGAACTGTTTTTATTTGAAAAAAATAAGTGCTTATAAATTAATGCTCTGAGTTAAACATATTACTACAATATGGTAAATTATTTCCTTATTAAAGAATAACAAAGAAACACTAAAGAATTTTGAATGAATTTAGCGCACATCTTAAAAAAAAGAATGATTCATTAGCACGGCTAAAAAACATTTTGCTGTTAAAGTGAAAACCCATACCGTAAGATTAACATTCAGAGATTCTGCTACTTTCTGCAAATCAGCGCAAGCCATTTCTCGAACACGAAGATTCTTTGATGCTTTCCGATCTATGACCAAAACTACCTTTAAAAAAACCAAGAGTAAATTAGAATCTTCTTAACTCCGTGGTAAATTTGAATTAATAACCTGAAGTTTGCGAGCAGAGTGATTAGTGCCTGCATATATAGAATTTTGTTTCTCTACACTTGCTGTAGATTTTAATATCGACACCCGCGCTGGATTTGGTATTGACTGTGAACGAGGAGGAAGAGGAAGTGGACACAAGTCCATGTTCGTATACTCAGCCATTATCGAACTGCCTCATTGCACTTCCCAAAAACTCCTCCACAATTGACTTATAGGATAAAGTATAACGTCCACCCTTATGGAATTACAGTATGGACTGAAACAAATAAACATAACTTGTAAACTTTTGACTCGTCGTATACACTGCAAACCCAGCGATTCCAAAAAAAATCTGAGTCAAAACCTTAAAATATTTCTTATTCTTTCACAAACAATATACACCTTATTTAAAGTTATTGACAAAAAAGACGTCAAACTGATCTTCGTCTGGAAAAAAAACTTGCTAGAAACTACACCTTTTAAATACCGCTTTAAATTTTGATATATAAAATCTAACGGTGCCAAATGTGAACAAGCCATATTTGGAACCTCAACTTTGAAATATAACTTAAATGCTAGAAAACGAAACGATAATACATGAGTACATTCGAAATTAACATCCAATAAACTTTCACACCGATACCGATAACATGGTCACACACATTCCGTAAAAATAATAACAAACTGTAAATAACAGCCTGTAAATAACACAAATAAAATTTAGAGGGGAAACTCCTGAGAACTGAAACTGACAGTCTTATTGGATGCAGAAGAAGAGATAAAAGTCAATGTTGTGACTGCAAGAACCACATTGGATATAACAACAACAATGGCTGCATTGAAAGCATAACGATTTCGCTGAATTTCTTAAATACTGCTCCTGTGCATTTTAAGCAAACAAAGAATTACTTTTAAAAAAACTACTTGATATTCCATCCACTTTACTACAGCACGCAAGTCGTCGAAGACAAAGAAATAAGCATATTTTTGAAACAACGAAGCTAAAACACCGAGTACAATGACAGCAAAAAAAAAAAAAAAAAAAAAAAAAAAAA